ATAGTGCCACTTAAATGACTTAATTTTCACTGTAACTAAAATATCTTAGAACCAGTGCCGTATGCTTCCACACGGATCTTGTATTGTCTAAGTATCGCTCCATAGAAGCAAAAAAATTATACTGTAAAAAAGTGTGTGCAATGCTCCATTTTTAAAGTGCTTCTTTGAATTGCTTTTTTTTTGCGAAATCTATTAAGCTTTTAAATGGTTGAATTTTAGCCATAAAAGTCGACTGCTTTTGTATTTTTGTCTGTCAAGTCCACAGTTTTTAACAATAATCTAATTGTTATCCGCTAGTTGGACATTCAGGAATTTCCACATAATTGTAAATCCTGTTGTATTATTTCCTAGATTTTATTTATAGAGCTCACCAGCGTTACCGAAAAAGAAGCGAAAATCATATCATCCCAATCAACACGTTATCGATCCAGTAAGTGCCTGTTGAGAATTGTTAATAAAAAATTATCATTCACGAATTTTAACATCTTAGACCGCTCAAGTCGACTACTATGCCACCAATCTGAAGCCTCCGTTAAGCTACGCACAACTGATAATGGATGCCATGGCCGAGCGACAAGTGGACAAAATCACTTTATCTGAAATTTATGATTATGCTGCAAGACGATACGCTTACTACAGGAGTTCTAAAGGACCTTGGAAGGTGAGTGTAGAGAATTTTCAAAGCATAAATGTTAAATAAGTGGGAAATTTTTCGTTTGATTATTTGATGACTGGCGCTTTATTAGCATGTCTTTGTCATAAATTAATAATCACTTAACTAATAAGTAATCAAAGAAATAAATAATTAATCAACTAAATAATCAGTTGAATAAATAAATAAAGTCCTTCTTTAGGTACACAGTCTACGGTACACTTAAACTTTTCTTCCAAACGATCAGGAACTTAGGACCTCCGAATTTTGCTTAGCCTGCGAAATCACAAATCTCAATAAATGATCTGCAAAATATTTTTAGCGGTATCAAGCTGAGCTGAGATACAATTCGGGTTTTTGGTCGAAGTGCGCTTGCCAAAACACTGAGAAATTCGCATTATTGGAATTGCAAAGAGAATCAATCAAATTCAGTAATTTACCCTTAGTACATAGATTGATTTTAGA